AAGTCTGTGGTTGCGGCTTAGCGTCTTGCGTTTTGCGTACGTTGCAGAATAAGCTACGGGCCGGTTCTGCAATAGACGCGGTAGGTCGCGAGCCGCAAGAAATCGACCGATTACAGCCAAAGATGAGAAGAACAATTGACTGTTATTGGCCGATTTCCTGCGGGTTGCGACTCGCTGGGCCTATTGTAGATTTTTCTCATATTTGACTGCGATTAGCGTCTTGCGTTTTGCGTCCATTGTAGAATAAACCAAAGTTTTTCAAAAGAACGTCTTTCAAAAGGACCCGAGAAAATTGACGCGCGTGCAATTTCGCCGACTCCCCGAGAGACGTCCGGCACAGACTCCGAACTTCGGTAGACGCGGTCTTTCAAAATTCACGACGCATCTACGACAACAAGATCGCCTCTCGCGGCTCTCGCGCGGCGCGTACACAAAGAAAACGACCGTGCTAGACGGGACCGGGTCTAATGAAATTTCCAATTTACAGGTCGAATCTCGCGGAATTCCGACGCGAATAAAATTCGACCACTTGTCACACGTGCGCGCGTACGCGCGGCGACGAAAAGTTGGCGACGCACACGTACGCACGCGGCCAGGCCGGGCGGGCACACAGGCACGCGCGCGCTCACACACACGCGCGCACGCACGCACGACGTAAGTTGCCGACGGACTCACCTCCTGCCCGTTCGGGGCAATGACCACGTCCACCTCGTCGAGATGCTGGCGATGCTCCGTGACCTCCGCGTGGATCTCCCTACCGTTGTACGTGAGATAAACCTTCTGACCGGGTACCAGCCGCGCGCCAGTGACGGAGCCGAAGCCCGGCCCGATGAGATCGCGGTCCGCGTACTCGTTGGGGCTCGGCGGATTGCCGTCCGTGATGTCGAAGCGCACCGAGTACAGGGTCTTCGGCGTGACGCTCTTCTGGCCCGGCGACTCGGCCGCCTGCGGCGTCTTGACGGCGCAAATGGCGCCGCTGTAGTACTTGCCGTCCTGGCCGGGAGCGCACACCCTGGTGCCGATTATGCTGCGCTTCGCCAGCCTCTTGCCCGTCGACATTATTCGCGGCTTCTACCCGGGCGACGCGCGATATCACTCGGTTGCGCGCAGATCAGTAGGATCCTTGTCTCTCGCGCGCGCACTCTATCTCTCTCACTCACTCACTCTCTCTCGCTCGCTCGTTCTACGCAGCGCGGAGGATCACTCGATCGTTCTCACCGATCGCTTTCTCGCGCGCGGAGTCCCGTTGCGCGAGGCACTCGCCGGACGCGACGCCAAACATTCACGCGCTCCCGTCCGCTGGACCGTTCCGCGACGCGTACACGGGACACTCCGTCTCGGCTTGGAGAATGTTTCAAGAGCGGACGACACACACATGTACACACACACACAGAAGGGGACACCCGCGCGCGTGCAAGTTCAAAATTGAAAAAGCGCGAGGCGCAGCGGCGCGCCTAGAGCCGCGGGACTCCCGATCCCTTTAAACGCCACGAACCAATTGCCAAGAGGCGCTCGTCGGCTTTTCTCTCTCTCTCTCTCTCTCTCTCTCTCGCTCTATCCCTCTTTCATCCCGCTTTAGGTCATCGTACCGACCGGCTTTTCGTCACGCACCAATCGCGCCGTCGTGTACCTGCCACCGACGCGGCGGCGGTGGCAGTGTTTAAAAACTCCGCGGGGACAGGGGGGGACGCGGGAGACACGGCCGCGCGAAAGAGACGTTGGACGGGCGGGGGATTCCGCTCTAGACGCCGAAGGGACGCGGCGGCCTCCGCGGCCTGAACACAGAACTCAGCGTATCAACAATGCGGCGTGCACCGTCGCCCGCGTTCGTCACGCCGTCCGCATATTCGAGGCACTTGGTGATCGATTCGTGGCGATGCGTTGCCGTGCACACGCTGGCTGACAGCATAATAATACGTGGCTGACGCGCGCCGACGTTAGACGGTGCTCCGGTGCTAGACGGCGTCCTAGCCGGGTCGTTAGACTCGTATGCCTGATAGCGATCCGCACGGGAGAAGGACTCGCGGCGCCCGACATGTGACGCACAGCTGAGCGACCGGGAGGGACTGAGGACAGACTGCCAAGCGGCTTTCACTGCGCCGGCCGGCCGCCCGCCCGTCCGGGAAAAACAGCTGATAGATAACAACAAACCCACGTGACCCGGCCTCGCCACCCGATTGGCCGCTCGCGCTGACCTACTTACTCCGATTGGCCCGCCGCCCGGACAACGAGACGAACGGGAAAAAATCGCAGGCTTCTAAGCCTAGGCAAAGAGCGCCTGCTCGCCGAGACGCTCCACTCCTCCCCTCTCTCTCTCTGTCTCTCTCTCTCTCTCTCTCTCGTCCGCCCCGACCAGCGCGCGGCTCCCCTCCCCTCCCTCTTCCCTCCGCGGCCCCACGCCGACGGGCGTGCGTACTCGGCGTTCCCGGCGTTTCTGCGAAGCGACGCCAACTTGGGACGCGCGCGTATGCCCCTCGCGCGGATTACTCGACGGCGGACCGAGAAGATTCGCCGAGCGATCGCTCTCTCTCCTTCTCTTTTTCAGGCCGAGCCGCGGACGGTTCTCTCGGCCGTGGTCCGCCATGGCGGCAGCGATCAGCTGTTGCCGACGCTACGCGCGCCCGGGCGCGGTTGTTTTTCGCCGTCAGCTGAGAAGCCCGGTGGTGACGAAACCGACGCGAGCGGCCGATCGCCGTTGCGCGGGGCAAAGCCTCCCGCTCCGCGAGACCCTCCCGTCGCTGCCCGTCCCCCGCTCCCTCCCCTCCCCCCTTCCTCCCGGCGATACCATACTGCGCCGGGTTCCTCGCGAAATACGCCGTATTTCGGCGAGAGCTCGCCGCGGGGGTCCGAACGTGCGCGCATCGCGCGCCGAGGCGGCCGCGGCCGCGTGCGGCGACGCGTCCTCGCCGAGAGGAGCCCGGCTTTCCGCTTCAGCTGTCAGCGCTGGTCGGCCATTTTGCCATCAGCTGAGTCGCCCGGTGACGACACGCGGCGAGTGGAGGGTCTGCGCGGACCCCGAGGACGCCGGCGTCCGATCCCGCTGGGCGGAGGAAAACGGCGGACGTTTGCACGGAGCTCTTGCGTCGCGACGACGACGACGACGACGACGACGACCGCCGAAAGAGCGCGAGCGTTTTGTCTCTGCGGCGCGTCCCTCTGTTCTCTCGTCGTCCGAGGCGCGCCTCGCGTCGAACGACGAGCGATCTGCGAGCGTCGGTGCCGCGGCCGCGCGGTGGGAGTCGCGGCGGGCAGGCCGGCGCACGCGAGGGGAGGCCGAGGACGCGCGTCAGCGTCAGCTGAGGGCGCCAGCGATGAAACGCGGAAGAGTGGATGGTCTACGAGAGCTACGACGACGACGCCGCCACCGCCGCTTCCAATTCCCGGCTGATCCCGGCGCGTCCGGCGCGCCCGACGCGTAGCGAAACGTCGTCTCTTGCGCGACGCCGACGCCGACGAGCGTTAATCGTCAGCCCGAGACCGTCGAGTCGCGCAAGGCGCGCGGGACCGCCGCTTACGCCGGACGCCGCCGATCGTCATGGCGGCGCGCGGAGGACGCGCGATGAAAATGGCCGGAAGACGTTGCGAGGGGAACGGACGGACGTAGGGGCGACGGGGGGGGGGGAGGGGAGGAGGAGGCGGACCGGCGAAATAGAAGGCAACGGTCCACGGCGTTCCCAGCAGCCTATCCTAGATTTATTTCCGTGGACGTTGCGCAATACACGCGCCTCGCTGGTCAGCTCGGTAACCGCTGACCCTCGTTACAAGTACGGAGGAAGGATAATGAGCGGTCATTCCGCGGTGCCCCGAAATCCCTGATGATTCTCTCTCTCTCGACCCGCTCGTCGCGATCCATTATCTCTCGACTCTTTAGCGAACGATTCATCTGGGTCTGTCGTCGCGCCGCTGCGGCCAACGCTCGGACGTCGCGGATTCCCAGGAAGCGAGGTGCATTCTGTCAGCAGATTCGAGGAGAATACTCGAGCGGATTGGCGTCGACCGCGCCGAGCCCCCTCCCGTTCTGCCGGCGGATTCCATCACATTTCTGCTTGGTGTTTTGCCGGGAAATTTGTAGACACTTGATAAAATCCGCTTTCGGCAGATTTGCCCGGTTCAATTGTGCGCGCTCGCGTTTGTTGCGCGTATTTATACGTGCAAACGCAATTTCCAGCACAAGTGCCGCGTAGATTAATCCCGTTAGTTGTAGCGTAGTAATAGATAGACAAATGAGTATACGCGCAGAATAAATATATAAATACACGGGGAGAACTTTCTTTTACAATTTACCCTGAAAATCGAGTAATCGCGTGGCATTTTCAAGAAATTTGTCAGAGTTTCTGGAAATGTTACCGTACATTTTACTAGTAAAATGTATACTAAGTATAATTACTGGTGAAGAGTGTGGTGAAGTAAAAAAAATTCTTCGAAACGCCGCGTTGTTACAACACGATTTTCAGGATAAAGTTTAAGAGAAAATTCTCTCCCCCCCGTGTATCACAGCGAAATATTGGACCGAGAAATGGCATCTTCTTCGATTAATCGCGTTAGATTCATATCGGTCTTATTTCGCTTATTATTGTCCAGATAAGGTGTACCTTTGCACATCGTACATAGCTCGTACTCTGGAGAAAACGCGCCGCGTCATTAGCCTCGAAAATAGGCCCATCATTATCGATGACATTTCGGAATCACGAAGACTGTCGAAAGCAAGGGGGCAACCGCTAGCTAAAATGTTGTCCCACCGATTACATGATTTCATTAGATTTCATCTGATTGCGAATAAATGTCTTGTGTGCTGTGCACGTTTAAAAATATGTGACGTTGTTGAATCTCAAAGAGCTGTTAGATTTCCTCGAAACATTATATTTTTTTTAAATTTTTACTCGTAAGTATTTGTCGACGTAATTTCAGTTAAGACTGTAGTATTTGGTTAGGTAGAAAACGTCTTTCCCTGCATCCCACTTTTCCCACTAGTCTAACCGTGGTCTTAACGAGAAGTAATTTTGTATTTGTATCTACTGTTCATTGTTCTAAATTAGCGCGCAAAGGTGTATCAACGTTTCAACTCGCTGTTGTTATAACAGCAACTACTTCAGGCTCGTTTTCACCAAACGTCGCTTAACTTTAATCTTAGTTTAATTCATGCCTGTCTCTAAGAGCGAGTTTCACAAACGTCGGTTAATTGCTAACCGAAGGTTAATTGATTCTCTTTCTCTTCTTAAATAATAAGACAGAAAAAAAGATAGGGAGTCGACTGAACTCTCGTTAACAGTTAACCGAAGATTAATCGATTCTCTATCTCTTCTTAAATAATAAGATGGAATAAGATAGGGCGTCGACTGTACCCTAGATAACAGTCAACCGATGTTTGTGAAACTGACCCTAAAGTAACAGTTGGAAAGAGACAAAGAACGTATTATGAAAAGAGTAATACGCGCTTATGAATATAAACTACGATACATATTTGAATAATCACTAAAAGAAGTCAATTTTTTGAAAAAATAAAGTTTTGAGAAAATGTTCAAGTCTAATGTTTGTCGTCTAACATGCGAAGAAACTTGAAAACGAAGGCAAAACGATTATATGGGGATTTCGTAAGGATTTCATAAGGATTTCGGAGACACTGTTCCACGATTGCGGTTAATCCCCCCCCCCCCCTTGGTCGCGATTTAGAAGCGTCGATTTGAAAAATCCTAAAACGTCGTAGGCCACATCGAGCCGACTTGCATATCGTTATGCAATTACGAGCAAATAAAGTGATCGCAGAAGCGCATCGAGAATCAATTTTCGTTCCAATCATCGTTGGAATTCCAATCTCGGTGCGGCATGAGTCGCACGCCCGGCGAGCAACCGCGAAGGGACAACGTCGTACAAAGTACAATAACGTAATAAAGCAATACACATACACACGTACGCACACATGCGCACATCTGGGAAATAATTTTATTAAAATTGAGAGCTTCTTTCTCCGCGGTTTTCCCGCGATTTAAATACAAGGAAGAGGAATTACTCGGCTACGTGCGAGTGCAACGTGAAAGGGCAAGGGCGGAAACGACGATGTTAACGTGAGCGTTTCTCATCCCATGCGCGCCGAAAGTTGGACGCGTAACGCAGCGTCGGCGCGCGCTTTGCGGCACCGGAAAACCTGGGGAAAGTTCGCACCGCTATCCCGCCGAGGCCGCGGGTGAACGTTTCCCTCGGACGGAGAATAGCGCCGGGACCTTATCGCGGTCGTTCCTGAGGTTTGCGGTAGTGGCACTTTTTTTTTTCTTCGAAACCGTCCCGTTTTACGATCGAACATGCCATTGTGCCCCGCTCGGCGAGCACGCCTCGTCATTTGTGCCACACTCGCGTGGAAAGATACCCTCTGTGTCTCTCCTCGAGGAGACGCAAAATTTCATTGTAGCTGAACAATTTGAAAATTCTACAGAAAAATGACAACGTCCCGTACGTCCAGTCCGCCAACGATACTGTCACCGTAGGTAAAATCAACAGTCGTGCGTGTCGTTTGCAAACGGTTTAAGACCCTCATCTACGATGAGCTGCTGAGTCAGAAGTCGGAACCATACTATATGTCGATCCTTTTCCTTTCCCGGGTTCGAAGAAAAAGGACCGACAAATATCCAGTCAGAACACTAACGTCGAAATCGCGTCCCAACTGTCAGCTTTCGAAAATAATTAAAAGTTTTGGAACTTAATTAGTTAACTTTACGAAAAATAAAGCTCCAAAACTTAATTATTTTCTAAAACTGACGGCTGGAACGCGGTTTCGACCCCATTGACGCCGATTCGACGTTGATTCGACCTTAGTGTCCTGACTTCTGACCAACGACCAACAACCCATTGTCCCCGGTGCCGATAAATATGTCCCCAGCTTTCCCCGAAGTTTGGCAAATTGCTTTTTCCCTTCCTCTCGGCTATGGAATATCTCTTGCTATCTGTCCGCCGCAGGTTCCTGGAAAGCGCGCGATTGTATAACTATATATCGGATAACGCGACATGACGCGTCCGAATGTATGTAGCGCGCCTCGTCATCCGCGACGCCTGGTATACGCGGTTTAGATAAGATTACGTCCAGTGCACAACAGTTTCGTGCCCGGTTAAGACGATCCGTATCGCAACGCGAAAACGTTGGGCTACGGTGCGATAATGTCGGACGGCGAGGCCGTCGAATTCGGCTCGTGCATCCTTACGCGCGCTACGCCATGACGTCAGGCGTGGCTGCGAGGACCTGGCTCGTCGTCCTCGTCCTCGACGCGATCGCGCTCGGCGCTCCGGGACGGTGCCCGTCGTTGTGCGTGTGCGATACCTGGTACGAGTTGCTGCGCGCCTCGTGCACCGGACGCCATCTTTATAGCATTCACACAGGTGCGCCGAGCAACGTGCAGGCCCTGGATCTGTCGAATAATTCGATATCCATTTTAAATAACTACGAACTGGCAGTGAGTATCGTGCGTTTTACCGGAGACTCGCGCACCTCGGGGATGCGATGACAGTTCGAATTGTGCGTTATTGCTCGCTCCCCTTGCCCGAAATCCTTTCCAAGCAACCGACCCGACTGTAAACGTTAATCGGTGGAGTACACTTGTGTCCTTTAACATGTACATTTTGAATATTTCTTCAGCGAAACTCACCCGCCCGAAATCAATCAATCATGATTTATGAAGTAACCATTGTATACGGCGCAAGAAAATTCCTTTTCCATTTTTATACCCGAGACTGATGCGTCCTTATTATAGTAATTTGTACCGTTGAACACTCGGTCTTTGTGTCGACTGCAAATTTATTTTGTAAAACCTATTCTACGTGGGTAGGCTGAAAAGTAATGCACATAGGCTTGTAGAACACGTACAAAAACAAATAGCGAGATCGGGCAAAAAGTACATTAAAGTACAATTCTTAAGCTTCAAAATCATATATTTATTTTTCAACATAGTCACCGTTAAGGCTAACACATTTCTCCCAACGTGTAACAAATTTTTTCATTCCGTCACTGAAAAATTCTTCCGACTTTTCTCGAATCGAGGACTTGACAGCTGCCTTCACCTCATCGTCCGAGGTGTAATGATTACCCTTGAGATCCCTCTTGAGTAGAGGAAAAAAATAAAAATCACATGGCGCAAGATCGGGGGAGTAAGGAGGGTGTGGAATCCGTTCAAACTTCAGGTTTCGTAGAGCCTCTGCAGTTGCGCGTGAGGTGTGTGGACGAGCGTTGTCATGTTGCAAACGGTAAATTCTTCTCAGTACATACAGACTCTAAAACACCTCCGACGTCGAGTTTGTCGTGTTAGAGGCAGCCTGGAGCCAATGCAACTGCAAAGGCTCTACGAAACCTGAAGTTTGAACGGATTCCACAACCCTCCTTACTCCCCCGATCTTGCGCCTTGTGATTTTTATTTTTTTCCTCTACTCAAGAGAGACCTCAAGGGTAATCATTACACCTCGGACGATGAGGTGAAGGCAGCTGTCAAGTCCTGGATTCGAGAAAAGTCGGAAGAATTTTTCAGTGACGGAATGAAAAAACTTGTTACACGTTGGGAGAAATGTGTTAGCCTTAACGGTGACTATGTTGAAAAATAAATATATGATTTTGAAGCTTAAGAATTGTACTTTAATGTACTTTTTGCCCGATCTCGCGCTTTTTGTTCGTGTTCTACAAGCATGTGTGCATTACTTTTCAGCCTACCCACGTATTTTTGGTCACGCGCATTCTTCAAGACGCTTTTGAGGCCTTCGGTGGAAAAATCTACCTGAGTTATCACGAGTTGACACGTCGACCATAAATCACCGAAAGGATCCGCCAGATCGAACGTCGTTACAGTTTCGGAGAGGTCAAAAGAACACTCAATATTTTCAGCGTTGTTACTTTTCTTTTAGCGAACAGTGAAATTATTGTGATGGTAAATTAAAGAAAGTGCAAAACCACTTTCCGTATACTTCAACATACAATAAATTCGAGCCTCGATATAAATATACTACTTAAAATTTCCTTGTGTAGCTTTTGTACAGCTATAGGTTTTATATGTTTTCTTCAGAGTCGACAAGTTGTTAAGTGACTTATAAATAGGCATTATTCTGTAATGAGAATGGACTCAGGATGAGATTAATTTAATGAGAATAATAATAACGCAGTTCATTGCTCCATCCCGGCTAGAACATAAAATCACAATGACATCATGATGACGTCATCATGTCAATACGAGCTTATGTTCTACTTGCGTTTACAGAGCATAAGATTATCTACGAATTCACTCAATTTTCTGCGTATCAGCTGTCGCAAACGCCTCAGTTTACTCCAGGTGATTATTAATGATTGCACAAGTCCCCCCCTCCCCAGCTTCTTGCATCATCGGTCTTCTTCCGCGCGCGTTTCTCGATGACTACCCTATTTAAAATAATAGAATACGATCAGATCGCATGCAACTTCAATGTAAATTTAATAAGACTCTTATTTATTTACGCTGAAATTGCACGTAATCTAATGTAGGCTGATTATATTTCATCCAATATTTTAAAAAGGGTAACTATTCCTTTCTATCACCATGGGAATTCCATTGTAGAAAAACCTTCGAAATTGTGCTCCCTTAATGCGTGTCCAATCCTTTCAAATTTTCTTCTTATTTCTAAGGCTTTCTTACGATGGGATTCCCATGTCAATAGAAAGAAAATAAGAATTAGTCATGCAAAAAAAAAACAGGAGAAGACTGGTGGCGCAGGAATCTGGGGAAACTTGTGTTCCCTAGTAGTTGCATATCCATAAGCCTTTATTTGACACTTTCTTTAGCTACCATATCCTTAAAACCAGGGTTGGAGAAGTTACCGTATAAAAGTATCTAGTTACAGTTTCTTCGCTAAACTTGTAGCTAGTTACAGTTACAGTTAATCAAAAAGTAACGAACCGTTACTTTGCAGTTACTTTCTTGCAATGAAAATAAAAATATCAAATCTGCATTTGAATAAAGTGTCGATAAAGGCGTTTATGCGCAAATGCAAGGCCGAATGCGATCTGTAGATATTTAAAATATATATAAAGTAACTATTAATGTAACTGAGTCAAGTTACAGTTACGGATGGAGAGAAAGTAACGAAGTTAGAGTTACAAAAAAAAAGTAACTGAAACGTCGTTACAAGTAACGAGTTACTTCCCAGCCCTGCTTAAAACATATCCTAAACATCTCTTAATGAATGTCTGGATTTTACGCTAAATTGTCTTTCATGACAATGTTTCGCATCCGTGCAAAGATAATTTGGGCAGTTAAAAATCTTTATTTTTTGTATCGCTGTGGAGAAAGCCACACTTTTCTGAATCCAAAAAGGCTTCTTTTTTTCTTGTTTTTGCATCAATATTGGCACCACCTTTCGTAGATATGATACTACCAAGGGCAACAGAAATCTTCATGCAACCCTGTACAGGCAAAGTTAATTCTCATATTCTTCGTTTATTACATAATAAATTTCCTAGGGATTTCTTTTACCCTTAGTTCTTCCCATATCTGCTTCTTACTTAAGAAGTTAAACGCTTTGAAAGCATTGAAAGTCCACAAACATTACATGAAGAGGTGATGACATGAAATCCATTGTTCTGTAATAATTTTTACAGTATTGATTTGTTCAATACGAGATCTATGTTAGACCTACCTGTGTGTCTTTTCGGAGCACTTTATCCAATGTCCCTGCAATCCTTACAAGCGCAATTTTATTAAAAATTTCACTAATAATTACAAGTAAGATGCTCCCCCGTTAATTAGTACATCGACTAAGGTCTCCCTTCTTTGGGATTTTTATGGTGCCTTCTTTCCATTCCCTAGAAAATTTTTTCCGATAGACTCTGAAACAATGGAAGATGAATAGCTGCTATTACATACGGGTCTAGCGTTAAAATTTCAATAGAAATGTTTATTATCTTACCCCGCAGCTTTTCCATTCTTATCGCCTTATCAATTTATCTCTTAGAAGGCAGCCTTGTGCTTAATGATAATTCGGGTGGCAAGTTTGCTGTCGTTTCTGTTCCTGAGGTAGAACGGTTATATTTAAAAACATCAGTGATTTTTATTGACCGTATCTGGCACTTTTTATAATACAGAAAATTTATTGCGAAAAATATTACCTCAGCCTGGGTTTGAACCTGGACCTCCCTTCTCTCTAGGCGGGCGTCTCAACCAATTCGACCACCGAGGCTATATTTACAAGGTTATATTTAAAATATCTTTTAAATATTCTTTTTATCCTTGAAACCTGGTCTTCTATTGAAATTACGGCTCTTCCATCTTTGTCCTTTACAGGAACAGCTATTGTTACTGCACCATTTGTCAGATGTCTAACAGAGTTGAACACTGCCTTTGTATTCCCTTTATTTTCGGCTAACTGAGCTGCACTCTGCACATGAATTAAATAATATGCTGTAGAAAATATCCATCACTTTTATTAATAGAGGAAAGTCCCCCATTATGAGATAAGCTCCCAATATGAGATAGCAGGGTTTTTGCTAAATTAACAGGCATCGTCTATTGGTTTCATCGTCAATTTATTACCCTTGGAACGAAATATCTTTAGTGGAAAATTCATTGTTAGATCGTGTAATCGTTGTGAATAAAGATTTGAGATTAAATTTTGATGTTGCAAACCTGCTATCTCATAATAGAGGACTTTCCTCTATATAACGCAGAAAAAATTACATTTATGAACTCGCAAAATAACCGAAAATTCGACTGGTTGCACAGCACAGTAATATATGTATAAGACGACCTTGATAGGGGCAGTCATTTCCGTGAACGAAAATTATCTGAAATTCTTCAAGGGCATAACTACAATTATTAATGTTAAAAAGTAATAATACTAAATATAACTACAATTAATAATATTAAATAATTTTCAAAAGTGATTATTGTACACATTTAGACGGTCATCATTTCGACAACGTATCACTAGCCATCATCGAATTGTTAGCCCGTTTTTTAATAAGATTTTTTTGTAAGTTTATACACGTAAGTTTTGTACGTTGTGAGCTAATAAAAGTGACACGTTTCTTTTGTAATGTAGTGTTTTTTCGTCTCATTCTGTCTCTTTACTCATTACAAAACAGCCATTTAGTTTCAGCAATTTCCCGACTGCCATTCCGTATACAGCTAAAATTTCAAGTTAATCCCGGGATACCTTTCGCTCACATATTGTAACGTTTCTTTCTTATTTTAGGAAGCGGGGCTGACGAGGCTTAAATACCTCAATCTGTCTGTAAATGCAATTAGCGAAATTGGCTTAAACGCTTTTAATGGATTATCCGAGTTGACGGTTTTGGATCTATCTCGAAATCACCTTTACTATCTCCTGTCGGATATTTTCGTGCCAGCAAAGAGTTTGCGAATTCTACGATTGTCAAAAAATAATTTCAATTCTCACGTACCGAGACTGGAGTGCCCCTGGCTCACGGTAATAACGGAAATATTAATTAAGAGTCTCTATCAATATTATATTTACATCGATATTTATACGATACGGTGCACCGGTGATATTGGCGTAACGTAAACATGGCTCGGCAAAAGTATTTGCCACGAAAACATTACTTCAATGATTAATATTTACGTTAATAAAACTGTAATATTTATATTTATTGTAGCCAATCTCCGCGGTTTTGATTAACGATTAAAATTGTATCGCATAGAAGTGACACTTTAATTTAATTTAAAATAAAAAGTGTTCTTTACTTTTAGGATCTAACTTTGGATTCGTGTCGAATTAGCCATGTACCGGTGGATACATTCAATGGACTCTCATATCTTCGCACTCTTGATCTTTCAAATAACCTGATGATTCAATTGGACAGCAATGCCCTTAAAACAATACAATTTTTAAGAGTATTGTCAATAGAAGGGTAAGACGACAGTCGAGAAATTTAACATACAACTTGGCTAAATTTAAACTTTTACGTAGTTCATTATACATATCACTATCAATGTAGAGGAACGTTATTATCGGCTTCTAATATTAGATAGCAGGTTTTCAATACCCAAATTCAATCAGAATCTTTATTCGCAACGATTACGCGATCTAATAATCAATTTTCCACTACACAAATTTCACTCCAAGGGTAATAAATTGACGATGAAACCAATAGACGATGCCTGTTAATTTAGCTGCTATCCTAAAAACCCTGCTATCTCATATTAGAAGCTTACCTCATAATAGGGGGACTTTCCTCTATGTGTAATGTATGTATAATTATTAAGTTCTACGTACTTTTTGTACAATAATTAAGATATTATTCCCAATAAACACAGAACATTGCAACAACATTGCGGCAGCGTTGTAACATTGCTACAACATTGCCGTAATGTTACCGCAATGTTCTGTGTTTGCTGGGATAAGATCTCAATACTCAATATATTTACTCCGCTCATGTGCAATGTACGCTTGTCTGTGGAGTACAAAAGAATTATGAAAATAGTTTATCATCTCGCAAAAAATTAGATTTATGATAAACACAATTCTCAATCTCTAATCTTTTTTTTTAGAAATCCCTGGTCCTGCGACAAGCTTACGCACGATTTGCAGATATATCTGACCCACAAGAATATAGAGTATCGTGCAGTGTGCGCAAAAAGTTCGGAGCCGAAGAAATTTGAAAAAATGGTCATGTACAATCCAAGGATTAAATATGAGAAGCATCGACCATTCGTGACTCTGAACTCGAGCGCTAAGAAAAACACGACAAAGAAACATCCTGCCATTGCTCGTGACACAGAAACGCCTACATCGACGCATGAAAATACAATTGCCTGTGCTAATGCGACAGACAGGACAAGCTTTGTGAAAGCATTGAACGCCATATCGCCGTACTGGTTCCTCACGGTCGGATTTTTACTCGGTGTCGCGTGCGGCATGTTTACTTGTTACGTTTGGCTCACAAGGAAGATATCTTGTTGTCGCGGATATCGCGAACAAACCGATAACGATGCTCAAAGAGTGTCGTTACTGCAGAATCTATGGCAATTTGAGGATTCTGCCGCCAACGATAGCGCAATATCTTGCCCTGATACTCCACCGCCGCCGTATCGCGAAGTCATGCTGCGACCGGGACTATATCGTAACGCATCGGTTACAACAAATTTAAATAATAATATTGTCACAAATAGTACGGGATACACTTAAGTTCTAAAAACGATATATTAACGTGCTATTCGAGTACGAATCGAATCGAATCGAACAGGGTGAAATTTCATTCGATTCGAATCTGAAAAATTAATCTCAAATTTAGTTGATTCGAATACAAACCATATTTCCCGTTAATAAGCCAAACAGTATGGTCATGTTGATAGGTGTATTTAGTGGGTGCATTCAATACTGCTGCTCTTTGGATTCAACCAATTGCAGATTTTTCGTCTAAGTGTCAGTTTCTTTGGCATTAAATAAAGTATCTTTTGTTAGTTTTATCTTAAATATTTAAATATGACGAATTTGTATCAATATCATTTTTACACATCAAGATATTCTGTTATTACCTACGTTAAAATTCAATTTATATAATAATTATTATTTAATGATTCGATTCGAAGAAGGAAATAAAATTCGATTCGATTAATGTCGATATAAAACGTCCTTGAATCGCACATCTCTATATTATCATATTGTTGTGCGAGTTGATTTGTTTTAAAATTTAATGCATGAATAAGCATGCTGCATATTGGCCATATTTATTGTACTGTTTAGAGATATCAGTGTCTTGCGAAAGATAGAATGGTATTGACTTTATTACAAGTTATACGTGTGTGTTTATAATAAAACTACTTTGTGCAGAGAACATTTTGATGTACGTTAGTTTACCAAGTGTAAATACACTTTTAAAAATAAAAAAAAAACAAGATATTATAAGTATTTTATTTAATATATTTAAAAAATAAAACACTAACGATCGAAAAACAAGATATGCTCTGATGTCCTCTAATAGATGGTGTTATCTTTCAAACGCAATTTCTTAACACACGTACAAATATCAAAACATTCGAAACTTATTTCATTGTAAAATCTTGTTTAACATGCACATTCACCTCGCAACATATATATTGCAGATGAAAATTCTTTTCAATGACAAAAAGAAATACTCCCGATAGCTTTATATATTACATACATAAATCGACAGATTAATAAACGAACCCCAATTAAAAAACCCATTTTCTTTTATTCATATAATAATTAATTCAATAACAATAAAAAACTAAAATATGATACATATTTTCTCGATATCAATGATGGCAAAAATTATGCGATAAAATGTGCATTTTATTACAATTCCTAGTCAGCGTTTCAAATGTTGCAATGATAGCGATTAATATTTTATAACAACTTTTTGCATTGCATGTTATACCGGGCGTATGTATAAAATATTGTAGGCACGTAATATGCTATATATGTACATGTATAATACAACGTATATAATTTTAACAGTAATTATTTTCGTCTGAACACAATAACGCTAGGAGCAGAATTGCGATTGCTCGAGACTTCGGGTCATTGTAGCGTAGCCTCGTCAAGCCTCATATTGTTTTCATCTACGCTTTGAGTCGTGCTTAAAGTGACCGTCTTACCGCCAATCGCGGCGATTATGTTTTCTGTCACTTCATGATCGTATCTCGTGCCGCGAATATTACTAATCACGCTTGCATCTTGGCTAAAGTCGGTCGATACTAATCCGGCGGGCAAACTCATTCTGATCTCCTCCACGATGCCGTTCTGCACTTCCAAGCTCAAATTCAAACGATATATTTTACCGTCGTGAGCGGGAAAGTCGAGCGTGCGGGTAACTGTGAACTTCGGCGTTTTGCCGAAATTCCACTCCCAAGAACGGAACTCACTGGCGAAGTCATCAATTCCTGTATACGATATCGACTTTTAAAAACATTTTCCAAATTGTCAACTAATCATATTTATATGTTATACTTGATCATTTCCATTTGCTAACAAAGTGTATGAAATTGTTTCCAAGTCAATCGTCGATTTCCAACGTATATTTCCAGATAACAAGAGCTATTTTCTGCACATACCAGGGAACCAATCCTCAGTTGGGTTGATGAACTTGAATCCCTTTTGTTGTTCAACCAGATCATATCTTCCGTCTTCGAGAACGAGAGCTTTCGTACGCAGATATTCCCAGCCAATAGCGGATAAGAGCTTATCCATTTGGATACTCCGGTTTATATCGAGCAAGTTCTTTATTGGAGAACGCACAGAAGCCGTCGCATTAGTCACGATACCATTCTGAAAGTGCATTAACTCATTTTCCCTTTTCTCACTTTTTCATGCAATAAATCGCTCAATTATCTTCAACAAACACTGATATTATTACGTCATGGAGTCGTTTGACGACACGCATAAAAGAAAATGAAGGCGCGTATGCACCGGCAATGTAGAGGCCCTACCTCTTTTCTTTCAAGAATCGAGCTCAGATTGGCTTTGTCCACGTTGACCAAGAGCGTGCAGTGATGATAGGCATTCGGTCTCCCCAGCTTTGCAGCTGTTCCAGATATCTGTGTCGCATTGTAGTTAAAAAAAACACATGATACAACTTCGTGATAACGTTAAGAGTCTATTAGCAGTTTTCAAAGCAACCTCGCGGCGATCAAAATACAGTTTCGCAATCGGTTGCTACAAGATGATATTTTTTGCCGCGTGCTTGTTACATCATTAGTGTCGAAATGTTTCTCGTTCAACGTGTAAATTATATAATACACATATTAATCGCGTGAATGATACATTACGTGTGACCGCTATACAAATTAATACTTGGTTCCGAATGTCCGAGCGTGAATAAAACGATTCTTGAAATGTGTTGCATCGAAGGGGATACCTTGCAGTCTCCATTGACTAGAATATCTTCGCGCTCGTTGATGACGCTCTTCAGACCCCACTGGCGAAACAAGGCGTTGGTGATAATGTTCAGATTGTACCTCCGGTTGTACTTTTCGCGCGGGGTGAAGAACGTCAGGTTGAGATTGCCGTTGTCGTGGTAAACGGTACCGCCGCCGCTGTTACGGCGCGCCAGCGTGATGCCCGCCTTTTCGGCCGCCTGGACGTTGCACTCGAGCCAGGGATTCTGGTGGCGGCCGAAGACGACGCAGGGCTCGTTCCGCCAGAACAGCAGCACGTGATGCTTGGAGAAGTCGAAGTTGCGGTACAGCCAGTTCTCCAGCGCCAAGTTGACGAACACATTCGTGGATTGCGATATAAATACTGACTTCTTGATGGCATCACCGCTGTCGCCGGCGCCACAGGTCGACACGTACCGGGCGGCACCGCCGAGAGGTGCGCGGCGCCTGACGGTGACAAGCAGTCTAGCCGGCAGAGACATTGCGTGCGGCGTGTGAAAGCGAAGGATGGAATACCCTGGTGTTACGTTGGACGAGTGGTTGATCGCCCACTACCTGATCTATTTAAAGTTACTGTGACGTAATGCCACGCGGGTGTATATCAGTCTTGGATGCAATAAGCCGCGAGGCTCTCAAATTGTTACCTCATATGAAATCAGCCTTGGGCCCAAACAAGTAATCTCTCTCTCTCTCTTTCCCTCTCCTCTCCCTCTCTCTCTTAGCAGACGGAGAGCGGCCTCTACTGAGGGAAACACTTGGAAACGTTGGTCTGACTCGCGGTTATCGAGATCAGGTAGTCGTGCAGGGCGATGGTCTGATGCAACCACTTCCAGGTCTGGTCCAGGGAGTTGATACGGTACCGGATACCCAGACAGTCTCGGCAGTCCTTTTGCATTCCTCCGTGTGCTGACAGTTTCAACGAGTTAAATGTACCCGCGCCGGAAGCACGGCTGGTCTGGTTTCTCTCTCTCGCTCGCTCTAGAACTTCCGTCGGCTACGTTGCCCGGAGTTCCTGCTGCTCACGATACACAAACAACTCTTCCGAATCGTCGTCGTCGTTGTCGTACGAATCCGATCGTTGCTCAATGCGTCACTGGCGGACGTGGAATGAGACGAGGGTGCCCCGCGAGTTTGGTCTTTATACGCCGCCCCGTCGCCTTTTCCGCTCGACGACGGAGAGGGGAGTCGCGCTGGGAGAGGTTATCTGGGTTCGAGGCGCAAAGTACAGCTGACGGGCGCGTGATACGACTCGCGACGCCACTCTCCTTCCCGTCCGGCTCCCCGGTCGCCGCGCGCGCGCGACCGAATTTCGACCCAGGCGCGTACACATCGCGACGAAGGCCCCCCGTCGTCTCGTCGAGGCGATTGCGCGCGCGCGCAAATGTTTTGTTCGCAATACGTCTGGTCGCACCGACCGCGATTATCCATCGCCTCGCGAAAACGCGACGGCGCGCAAAAACGTAGCGAGGAGCAAACACCGGTCGCGTCTGCGCGGTTTATGCTTCTCGGAAGTTCCGTAATTTTTTTTTCTTCTTTTTTTTAGGTCATCGATCATTTTCTTATGTCATCGATGAAGCGCGCGCGATATGATATTTTGCGCGCCGATGACGCCATTTCTTTTAGCGCGGATCGTTATCTTAAGAGATAGCGTCTCGCGTAGGCGGCGACGGTGCTAAGGCAATTTGCAAGTTGTACTTTATTTTCGTTTCTTTATCGCACTCTGTCTGCCGCCTCTTATCTGCGTCCACCTATCTGTATCGAAAGAGGAGTTTAAGTACGCGAGTCCCACCACTTTCGGATATTAATTATTGCTTCATTCGATCAAACTCCACGAAAAACTCGGCTGACATTATTAGAATTAATACGCGGGTCGAGAGGTCGGCTGCGTTATTTTACGCTGCCTCTGTATGCATAAATAGAAAATCAATCTACGGAGCTAGAAAGAAGTTCGAGCTTCTAGACGAATAGCAATATTAGTCAACGGTTTAAGTTAGATTTAATTAGAACTCATCTAGGAGTATATCGATGGAGATTGCAGGAAATTCAATCGAAAAACAAACGTAAATAAACATGAGTTACTATCCTAATTAAACATAGCAACACCTCGTGTTCTACAAAATTGGAATTCTGAAAAATAAGTTTCGCTAACGGCATATGTAGATTCTGAGAATACTCGGAGGCTGTCGCAAATTATATGATACAGGGTTGTCTCCAGCATATTGGAATGTCTTTGCCCAGCGAGAAATGACTCGTCGATCGACGTCGATTCGACGTTGTTTCGATGTCGATCGACGAATCATTTCTCTCTGGGTAGTACATGCTATAGCAGTACGAATTATTCGAATATCAATGCTGTTCGGGATAATCTCGGTTGCAATTCTCGGGAAAGTATCTGTAGCCACGTTTCTTGACGAATAAGAATTTTTAGTTATCGTATATAACAGCGAATTGCACTGCTTTTGACTTCGTTTTTTTGTACACGAGAAAAAAAGGATGCATCAATAAGATCAGTGTAATTGAAATAAAATGGTTGAAACAACGTCAGTATTAATAAATGAAAAACACCAGACAGTGGATATTTAGTTCAGTGTTTAAAATTAAAATCCATCGCAGACGCAATTGAGCGAGTTATTTTTATTTGTGGCAGCCCGTGGCATTAACGTTTAATTCAGGCATTTTAATTTGTTTTTAATTCAACAGCATTGTTTTCCGTGCAGGCGCATTACTTCCTTTAAAATGAAGTTGACGTACAACTGGACGCGTCGAAGGCAAAATGGCACGATTAAAAGTACAAAAATTCAGATACAAGGAACAGTAAGTCCTGCCCCATTTTGTTGTACACGAAGCCGAGGCATAACAGACATCGATAAAATATATTCAAAACATTTCGCTAAAAGCGTGACAGTGTTTAGCATCCGGCATTTTATCGCCGTAAAAATGTTCATACTATGTTTTTATCATTAAATAACTTGCTGTAGTAACCTTTGGCACGCACCAGCGTAGAATAGTGCGAATTTGCTGTAAGAAATCTTGGTTTACCGAGAAACGACCACACGGAGAGAATTTTCTCTTAAAATTCACTCTGAAAATCATGTGATCGTGGGACAACATTTTTATGAGTTTTGGAAATTTTACCATACATTTTACTAGTAATTATACTTAGTACACGTTTTACCAGTAAAATGTATGGTAAATCTTTCAAAAACTCTGATAAAATTCTTCAAAATGCCATGTTGTGCTACGATTACGTGAGTTTCAGGGTAAATTTTAAGAGAACGTTCTCTCTCCGTGCATGAATACCGCGCTCGGATTTTAACCCTAGTTTTTCCTAATCTACCCTTAACACTGGACTTTCTAGCCTATAACTCTAGATTTACCTGCAACAATTCCTAACAAATACATATGTGCTATGTAGCTCCGAAATGGCATTCGAGGGATCTAAACACAGCAAGAGAAAAATATTTCCAATCTATCTGATCTTCTACTATGAACCACTTGTATTATTTTCCAGGCACTAAATTGAAAAGCAAATACAGCTGATAAAGTTGGGCAATGAGATTACAATGTGCATATTGTAAATGCATGGTTCTCGAACGTTTCGGGTCAAATTCGAGCCGATAAATAAATGCTAGATATTAAAGTTTTACTTATAACGCGCTAAACTGCAGCGAAACGTGGATAACAATAGATTATAAACGAACGAATTCAAGAAACTTCCGCCGTGACACGCCGCATATTCGCGTAAAGTTGCATTCCCTCGAACGCGTCCTCGAGACTTGTTTTCGTTAGAAAATGCAAATTCGCATGTATATTTTACTGGTAAACACCCGATAAGGGAAGAAGTGATTAGAGAGAGAGGGAGAGGGTGGAGGGAAGCAAAAACCAGGGGGCCATTATCAGTGTAAATGTGGTGTGACGACGAGTTTCGAGCTGACTGGCAAGTTCTTTTTTCCTATTTCCGTGCTCCCACTCGTTTATTTGTAACAAATTATACTTGCCGCAGAGTCAATATATCTACGACACTGCGCTCATTCGCAACATGGTGAGTTGTACCGCGAAAAGTCTCGTTCACGAGTCAATTACTATCGCGCACGACGAGAGAAGGGGCAATTGAGGCCTGCCGATAAGGAGATACCGCGTCCCACACCCTGCCGTCCTCTCCCCCATAAGTAGCACTGCCGACATTGGATTTATGGTCGCACGCGCGCACGAGTGATAAAAAAATGGAAAAAAGAAGAGAGAGAGAGACCAGATCCCGACGGGTCAATGTATCACTTCCCGATAATTATCGTGATATCGAGCATTAAATAATTAACGCACGATCCGATATATCTCGAATGCGGCTCGTTCTGACAATGGGACTTGGCAAGGAAAACATCTGTCCGTTTCAGCCGCGTATACGGAGAGGATTTTCTCTGGGAATTTATTCTGAAAATCATCGTGGGACAACGGGGCATTTC